TGATTGTTGTCGAAGTATACATGTCGCCAATCCTCATATATTTTATAGGGCAGAAAAGATTTGTACCACTGATAAGCTGGAAGAAGAATTGATGAACGTACAAAAATGCCTACGAGACAACTATTACCCACAAAAGTTTATTGAAAAATATAAAAAGCGTAAAGAAAATAATACTGAAGTAATTACTGTCAATAAAAAACCAATAACTATAAGTCTTAACTTCAAAGGTGACGATGTTGCTAACACAATCAACAGGAGACTGAATGCTGCGCTAGCCAGAACCTATCCGGCGGCCAAACTTCAAATTCTTTATAAAACAACATGTTCATTAGCTCAATCAAAGGTTGATAAGCATCCTTTTCATGTTACCGCCAATTGTATTTATAAATTTACATGTACCTGCCAAAGCAGCTACGTTGGCCGAACAGAAAGGAGGGCATATCTCAGATTTTTTGAACATGTTCCAAAAAACCTCAGAACAAGAGAAAGAAAGACTCTAAGTAGCGCAATTACTAAACATCTGCTTGACACAGGCCATCAGGTTGACACCCTACAATCATTCAAGGTTATTAGTAAGCAGCCAAACTCCAGTCTTCTGAAGTTTGCTGAAGCAGTTGCTATCAGGCGCCAAAAACCTGATTTATGTGTTCAGAAGGGGATGATTGTTAATCTTTCCCTGCCTTGGTGACAAATATTCTTCCGCTGCAGCTTAAAAATTTTTTTATTATCTTTATCTTTTATATTTATTACGTCATTGATTTTATTTTTCCAACTATCTGTAAAAAAAATTAATAGTCTTTCAACTGAACTCTACTCACTATGTTCCTATCAATGTTTATTCATTATGTAATCAATTGTTTCTACCCCTTTGAACTGTTGTCACAATTAATGCTCTAGAATATTCTTTCATATTAGGTATATATTTACAATATTCAGCCTATTAATTTCATTTACATCCATGTCATACTTTACGAATATTTCTTAAATATAAACCCTCTCATGTAAGCAATTCAAAACCCATTATGTAATTAATATCTTTTTAAATACTATAGGTTGTAAGCAGCTGACGAGAACCTACGAAATAAAATGAATTCACGTTATTCTGCTAGAATCTTTGTTCTTGCTCTTTTCAAAATGATAAAGGGAACTATGTGTATGCAATATATTTTTTCTATCGACTTAATTCGCGTTAGATAATAATGGATTGAAATAAACCAAATACGAGAATGAATTTAGAATACGCATATCTCATGCAATCATTGATCTGAACAGTCAATCAGGGAAGCGCAGCGAAGCAAGCAACGCGAAGTGAAATGAAACAAAGTGACGCGCAGTGGAGAAGGCAAACCAGCCAACTCGATTTGACCAAGAATAACTCAATATTTATGTTCAGACAAAAATAGGTTACAGACACGTGATGAATAGGGTTAGCAATTAACACCACATACGATCACAGAAAACCAGTCAATGTTAATGAGCGGACAACTGACAATATCAAAATATAGCTTGAGAAGGATGAATAAATTGATCTGGACAGAAGCTAAAATAACCTATGTGTGTTTGACATAGCACCAGCCACTACAATTTTCTAAAGTTATGGGAGGAAATCAACTAAAACAGACTATGAAATACACCACTTTGGGTTCGAAATTACTTACAAAGGGACGTATAGGTATTTATTGCAAGCATGTAAAACAAATCAATTTCATAGATTTAACTATTTACTTGATTTTAAGTGAAGCTCCATAGTTTTTAAATATTTCTTTATAAGATCAACTAGTAAAATACACTTCTGTATTATAAAATCTTTCGATGAAGGTCTGGCATCAAATGAGTTATATTGACCGATGTATGTGCTCGTTTTCTGGATGAAATGGTAGTTATATCTACGACATTACTAAGCTTTTTGAATAAAGCAAGGCACAGTTATTTAAAATTTTCTTGATAATGTCTATTCATTTGTCAAACTGAGGGATGGTTCGAAGTGGAGGTTAACAATTTGTTTGATACTCAGGATAGGTCAATGTACTCTTTGACTTGCAGGTATACACAGTTTGACATTAAGATTTTTGCGATCTCATAGTTCTACAAAATATGTTCTTTAATAGACTTGTTATAATTTTACAGTGTCAAATTGTTTCCATAGCACTTATTACCATTCTCTAAATATTTAACTTAACTTGTACGAGAAAGCTCTATATTTTAAAAATAATTATCGAGTGAATTTGCTTTAGACTACAAACCTTTCTCGACTTTGATCTAGGCAAAATTTGACAGTGCAATATATGTATGAAAATATATATGGGTTCGAGTCCCTGAGTGAACATCGATCCTGGGATGCAGGTACATCCAGTTGACGAGCCACAAGTGGGACGAAATGCACATCCCAGATTCCACTGTTCGGCATCATCCATCTCTACTTATAAGTATAACAGGAGTTTTTCATTCTTTATATTTTAATAATAAAGTATGTAAAATCTTTCATCAAGTCATTTAACTCACTTCATTAATAATATTGTCTGACTGAAGTGTCTATATTCATTCAAAGCTGAATTTTAATGAATTCATGTAGTTTGCAGTGAATTGAAATTTTTCAAAAATAAAATTCTTTTTACGTTAAGTGGTTAGTTTATTTCATAATCAAAATTAGTAATTGGATGTGAGAAGAAAAGCATTTATTTACATTTGAAATGTACTACAGTAAAAATACGTTTTCAGTGGAGTTTCGTACTCTGAGCTGGATGGTTTGAAAGTGGAGATGTAGTTGTTCCTCTGGACAACATCATCAACGCGAACTTTATGTAATTGTGAGATGTTCTAAGTCCTCCACATATGACTCATAGCTTTTCCTGTCGACCTCGATCGTGATTGTTTATTGTTGAATTTTGACCTGTCATTGTCTATTTCTTTATATTGATTGTATGTCATTGATTTGATTCTTGGTCAATTAATTGAATATACTGAGATGAAAAAAGTTCAGTGTTTGGTGTAAAACGAACAATATTAGATTGTATGATTGTGTTTATCGGAATAAACGTAATTTATAAACTAATTAGACACTTTGGATTGTAGATTCAAAGAACAATCTCAATTCAATAATTGTAATGAAAAATATTCATGGATAGGAAATTAGTTGCATTTAGCTGCAGAATAATCTTCATTTGAGCGGGTTCGCTAAATTAAGCTTTAAACATTTTGCTGAAACTCTTCAGTGTCTAACAGTGCAATCCAAACCTCATGTTTCGTTTTATCTGAAACTCGTTATTGTGAAGTGGATGCATCTCAGTGATGGTTTTAAGATGTAGATTGATTAGTTGCAAGCTTTATCATCAACAGGAAGATGGAATCTAGTAAAAAATAAGTTCGTACTCGGCAGGCAAGCTAATCTTTATATGAACTCATCAGTTCAGTGGATAACATGTGCGTTTCATGCGAAATACACTGGGTTTAGACGCAGGTTCAAACGTCAGCTGAGAGGCCCGAAATAAATGGAAACACCCATTGTAAACAATACTCATAACCACTATGGGAATTTAATAAAATGCATAACTAAACGGAAATTTATAGGCAATCATCCAAGGATAGATGTAAGCTGCGAAAAAGGGGATGATTACAGTTTCCAGTGCAAATAACGTTGAAAAATATTAACCTTATAAATTATAAATCGAACTTATACATTTTTCCTGGTTATAATAGCAATATCTCTCTTTGAATGACCTTGAATATTTATCAGAAATTGTAAATATAATTTATGAGTTTTAAACATAAAATTCAATCCTCAACATGAGTATCTAGATACGTGTTTTAAGCTGTATAACAAGTAAGATTCAAATAAATGCAACGTTATTTTGGGAACAGTTTTTGTGGTTTTCTGTATCAGGTTAAATGTAATATGGGCTAAAATGTCTGAAGTTTAATTTTACAAGATAAACTTGGATACACAGAATAGATAAGAAAACCGTTGTTTCAGTGAACAATATATATATATATATATATATCATGTGCTCATTGGCGACTAGCTTCGAGCGGTAACTCTCAGAGTTTTGGTGATAAGCCGTGAGCAATCAGGTTCAACAGCGTTGAGTTACCCACCGAAGACAATGGAAGGTGGTTAGGCAATATCGTGGATTGGTTAGTGTTAGACATTGACATCGCTTGATGCTGGGTAAATGGTCAAGAGGTTAAGTGTTCTCTAGAGACCGAAGGTCCCTTTTTCGAACCCGACTTGCAGAATCGTTGATACGCACTACAAAGGAGTGCCGATCTAGTGTTTCCATGTTCCAATGGTGCTCTAATATTGATCGGTTCAAGATCTCAATAAAAATTACTAAATGGTGTATTTATGTACTTCCACTGCTTGTTTGAAGAAATTTGAACAAAGTATAAAGATGGGATTTGGGTATATTGTAGAATTTTCCCTTATTATCTTATTAACAAATAAACGGTAGAAAATTTATGACATATGTTAGAAGTAGTTGACTAGAAAGCATCGACTGGAATTTCGTGTTAGTGGCAATTAATCAACACGGTATACATGCATTCATGAAGGAACTTATGATTCCTGTGAAATTTAGACATTTGTAACTCGGGTTCACTGTCTAACACGTAACCACTGAGCCATTTCGACAACCTGTAGGACTGATAAGTAAGTCCTCATCTGACAAGGAGCATTAATCCTCTTAAGACTCCAGGAAAACATTTCTGTCTAGTGTAAACTTGCACGTAACCTCAGATCAAGGTTGCTTATCAACTACTTACAACCACCTAATATATTAAGGTAGTACACATAATGTCGAGATGTTTAGACTATAGTCCTGCTTTTAAATTGTTCAGTGGAACTCAGTCAGTCAGTATGTCATCTAGATTAAGTTAATTATGTAAATGTTTATTTATTGGAGGCTGGTGTTCATCCAATCAAATTGAAGAGAGACTGTATTACTCTGATTGGTTAATTAATTTCAAACAGAGAAATTCTATTATGATGATTTAACATTAGAATTAATTCAAACGAAAATAAATTTCTTTTAGAACAATTTTTCATTAGAAAGAAAGTTTTCCATTATTTTATTCTATTTTAATTGAATGACACAATGGGTTATTCTTATTATCTGAAGAACAATTTTTATTAAATTTATAATTCAAGCAAATTATCACAATCAAGTGGTTTTTGATTTTATTTTCTAAACAAACATACGATCTTTCAGTATTACTAGATTTATTCTATCTCTAAGACTTGATGGGATGATACAATGTATATACAGCCAATGCTGTATAATTAGTACCCAGATATATACGTATGTATATATCTGTATATAATGTTTAGTTAGATACTTTAAAAATCGATATTATAGTGTTAACTCATATTAAACTAAACTACTTATATTACGTTTGAAAAATCTGTAATTAGCTGTTAAACATTTTTCATCCAGGAGATTATTTCAAATTATTAAACAAAAGATCAATTCCAAAAAAGCAACATAAATACATGTATGGAATCAAGTAAAAAAAACCGGAAATACATGATATATTGAATCAATGGAGTTACGAACCGAGTAAGTGAAATACAAAGAGTGTTTTCTTAGTGTTCATACTTTATTATACACTTTGTTTTGTGATGATAAACAATTTAATCAAATAAATATCATGTCTTTTGTAATCGACTTAAATTAATGAAGTGAATCGAAGCGGGATTCAGAGAAACAATTCAGAAATACTAGATTTAAAAAACACACTATAGTATGAAACTATTAAGATGACTGGCGGATTCATTTTCATATTAACTAAATTATGAAGTCGGAACACGTAATCAAAACAAAACAATGAGGCGTAAAGTTGTATGGTTGTTGAAAAAAGGCTCTGTCCGTGTTTTTTTTCATTTATTTGTTAAGGTAATTGGCTAATATCTGTAAATGTCAATAGTTATTATTACACTAGGGGATTGTAGAGAATGTTAAAGTTTACGGGTTACATCATAGAATGACTTTAGGTAAACTACCATTAAAAACTGCAAGGTCTTGGGTAGCCGTTTTATCCAAGCATAGGATTCTTGACTATTGTACATCCACAGATCTAAAGGTAATGAAAATCAGGACTTTTTAGGATTCTCAGTGAACAGCTGACGTTTAGATCGTTGAGCAAGAACTCAGTTATTATTATGATCTAACTTCAATCAGCTTGTGGATTTATCCAACTGTTCTCCAATTTCATTGGTGGGTAACTCTCGCAAATTTTCCATAAGTGAAATCCACTGGTCAGGGTTTCCGGCCTTCGAACTCCTAGAATTACTTTTCATAATTATTCACTAGTGAGCATATGATCGTTGTTATTATGGAGTAATCATCACTTTTGTTTATTTTGTAAAGACATTCAACGAAAATTAATTGAAAGAAGAAAGTTATTTTTAATAAATTCTCTCCATGTTCCGAAGTTATTTACTAGAATCAATAAGGCAAATATGTCATTTAAATTATCGCATGTTAGTTGATTACTGCTCGTAATATAAGACAAATTTGTTGATACTGAATGACGAATATACAGTGTTAAATGTTTAGTCAGAACAATAAACAGCTCAATAACAACCCATTTAGCGAAACTGTTCATAGTGCCAGCATACGTCAACTACTCTGGATAATTTATCTGATAGTTAATTCCCTGCCTATGTCAATTAGACTCCAAATCCTTCAAACAGCAGCAACAGTAGTCATTTAGACTAAAAACTAGATCTATATGTGCAGAAGACTGTGCACAACCCTTTTCTTAACTGAATTAACCTCGTGACCAACTAATGAATAGTTAAAACCGTACATTAATGAAATAAAAGCCACTCAAATTCCTTGCAAAAATGCTTCATTTTAATTATTATTCGATAATTATTTGCTGCAACAAATAATAACATTATGATATTCAAATTATGATTCATCTGATAAAACAACTTTCAAAAGGTATATTTTAAAATATACTTTGACTGGTAACTTAAAGCATCAGAATTTCGTTAGTAAATTTGCTTAATGCCTTTTATTGGAATTCAGGACACTTTGGCTGCATGCTTTTTCATCTCAAATTCAATGTTCTCACTGGGATTAGAAGCCATTATATTTCTCCTAAAATACCATTTCGTCATTCAGTAAGTCACTTTACACAGAATACCAACAAATAATAATCAATATTGATCAATTATTATTGATAAAAAAGAAAACAATCAATAAAATGACAAAAATGGTAATTGGACTTTCGATCAAATTGAAAATTTGAAATTTAAACAAATCAATCGAATAAATCAATATTTGTGCACTTTTTATAAATCAATGTATAAAATTAATAAAACTTTCTTTTAAAAAAATATTTTAAAAAAATCAATAGATAAAATTAAATTTTATTATAAACTGTTTTGTTTCTAGAAAAAAATGTTTTGTTTATATTTTGTTCCTGGGTGAATGAATACAGTGCAGACAAGTTTAGTGAATGTAAACTAAGATTACATATAATAAATAAATATGTTTTATTTATATCTAATTTGAACAGATTATGAACATTAATTCTGTAAATAATAATAATTTACAAAAATGTTTATTATTCTATGCATAAATTATGTATAAATAGATGTAAATTGAATATTTATCAACATAATTACCCATACATTATAATCAAGGATGGATAGTGGCTAGCGGTGGAATCCAGGACACGCGTTGCGTTCTATTTGGGACTGGTCAGCTGAATGTACCTGCATCTCAGAGTTGACGTTCATTCTATAACTCGAACCCACTACCGTTTGCTTCAAATGCCATCACGTTATCCACTCAGCTACTGAGTCCTGATAGCCACTTGCTTGTACAGTGGGGTGAAATTAAAACTTACTTGTTGTCGTTTGTTTGAATCTTCCCACTGATGTTTAGTACGGCGATTGATCAGTTTGTTATTGGCATATGTGCATCTTGTGCGGATTGCCTCGATATTATATAATTACTCATGATTCAAATGAGCATTGTTTTTAGTCTTAAACGAATTTATGTAATTTTCTGTGAGTAATATTATTTATGTAAAATCAATGTATTACTGTTAAACCTTAGCCGGATCTCAGTGATTTTGTATTTTGTAAACTGGATTACAAATTTTTAAAAAAACCAACATAATTTTGGTCACTTCTTAGATTATCAATAAATAAATTCATATTCACTGTACTAGAGTATGTTAATACCAAAGAAAAACCAAGTGTAAATTATTTTGACTTTAAAACTGTTCAAGGGATTTCAACCATACAGCAAAGTTAATCTTTTAAATATTGTTTACCTATCTTGCTGACGATTTGCAACTAGTATCAAATTTTTCTTCAGAAAATGTTGTTGAATGTTCTTCATCAAGTAACATCGAAAATATGATTAATATGCATTAATCAGATACAATACTCATTATCAATTTATGCTGTAATTCAGTTAATTTGTAAAGACACTAAGAATACCCCATAATAATGTTAGAATTTTCCTTCCTGGATTGTCTGCTGAAATCCTAGAAGGAAGCCATAACTGGAAGTTTCAATAATGCTTGAAATAAAGGTGTGTTGATGGTAATAGTTACATGATTATAGTTGTGTTTTATTTTCAATAAACTGAAAATTGGAAAGAAGCTAATCATTGGATTCCGACCAAGTATTTTTAGAATGTTTAGTCTTTCATCCAGTACTTATCATTAAATGTGTTTTACAGATTTACTCTAAAATAAAAAAATTCGGAAGTTTCCTGCACTTTCAGATTTTTAAACATATGTAAACTGAGTTTAATGTATGAAAATTCCATAACTCAGTTAACACTAAATATATATATATAATGACTAGTGGTAAATACATCTTGTCATTTTAACTAAAAGCCTTAGACTATATAGAGTTTTCAATATACACTTGAATGATTTGGAATGGCTGAATGTTGATTTCATTTAGTGCAACGCTATTCATGAAGCTTTTCTGGAAGTAAACAAAATAATTCTATTTACCAAATGATAAATTTGCTACGTATGTTATGACATTTATTTAGGAAGTGTATAGGTGAAACAAATGCTTTGCCTCGAACCAACATTTAATCAAAACTGTACAAACTATACATACTGATTCTCCTTTCGGGCTATTTTCGTGTATAAATGACTTGAATAATTTGGCGAACATCTCAATTTTGACTAGAATGATAGTTTATTTTGACAATCTAAACTGGAGACATTTGCAGTGTTGGTTGCTATTTTAGGTCCGAATAACTTATTCTAGCTTCTGGACAGGTAAATTTATCTATTGTTCTTAAGTCAGGTTTTGTCCTTGTTAATTATTCACTTACCAACCTTGGCTATTTCTAATGAGCGTATACGTGTGCACTTCTTATCCCATTCATCACATGCCTGTAACTTATTTTTGTGTGACCATAAATATTGATTAACGCTTGTTTAAACAGCGGTTGGCTCACTTGCCTTCTTCAATCTTCTCCGTTCTTCCCTCCTTGTTTCGTCTCTTTGATTGCCTGTTCAAATTAATAATGAGTGGATGAAATATACATATTCAAAATCCATTCTCGTATTTGGCTTATTTAATCCTGTTCAGTCGATAATTCTATGCAAGGATAAACAAGATGTATACTTTGACAATAATCATTCATACGATCCAATTAAAGTCAGTTCTCAGGACACTAAAGTGGTGAGCCCGTAGATAACGTCGTCCGGTCTAATTGACGTCAAAATGAAAATTATAAGTTACAAAATCCCTAATATTTCGTCACTTCAAAATTGCGGATCATATAAATGACTTTAATTAATTTAATTATTAGACCTGCATGAGAAACACAATACTTCGAGTTCACCACATATTAATTAAATGAGACAATAGGTTAATTATAGAACCATATACTATGAGATGGTGGAGCTTTGTAGCTCGGGTAGATGATTTTCATGGAGTTTTTTTGTCTGAGCTGTATACTGTATAAAAACACTTCTGTTAAATGTTAGGGAGACAGAAATTTACAGACTACTACTGTTGGTTATTCATTTGAGAACAAATGACAAGAGATTCATGTTTCTTGACGAATTTACTCCGAACTACTTAATTATTCGATAATTATTACTTTTTTCCTTCCTCATTTCCCAGAACAGCGAAAAACGATATATTAATTCATATGACACTATATGTTTGTACCTTTCTTGACTTTAGATTCTGACATGATCATAAGGTGGTTTGATTAATATTAATGTGTCCACATTTCATTGCAATTAATTTTTTATTTAAGTTAGATACAATATCAATGTTTGTATTCGGAAACTAAAATCGACATCTGTTATTCGATATAACTAAAATGTAGATTAAATTGATACCATGTTTACATTTCAGCTCTGTGTGTTTATTTATGAAATATCGATTACCATCTAAATTCGAGATAAATTTCTATTTTTTGTTTGAGAAGTATCTAAGTGTTTAATTTACTAAAGCTTGGAAACAATTATAACAAACAAATATAACTGATCCAATTGATTAAATTAGTGATCCCTTTTTAACCTTTCACTTTTTCACGGATTTCAAATAATCTTA